AGTAAGGCACCTGTTACTACTAGCGTGGCACTTGTTACTACTAGCTTGTTGTTTCTAACTTTTTGTTACTACAAGTAAGGCACCTGTTACTACTATCGTGGCACTTGTTACTACTAGCGAACCTTGTTTCTAAGCAAAGCTTTTCTTGCAAACAAAATTTCTAGTAGCGAACATTGCTCCTAGTAGTACGGCCAGGAGCCCCTAGTAGCGTCCTTGCTCCTAGTAGCGGTGCCAGGAGCCCCTAGTAGCTTCTTGTTACTGAACTCTCATTTTTTTAGCTTTCAAAGTTACTCCCTGTTTTTCTTCATGAGGGCTGGGCTGCTTCCTTGTCCCAACGCACCTCCTCCTCCAACGGCTTCCTGGTGCTTTTTCTGCGACGACACCACCGTGTACAACCCGCCCAAAACTGGTTTAGACAAGAACATGTTTCGATTGCAATCTAGTTATATTGCTCATGGGTACGCAGGGCAGGCCCTCAAACAAACGTCCTTCACGCGCCCAAGCCCAAGATGAAGGCTGTGCGCAAGCCTCGCTGTCACTCAATGCTTCTGTGCTTCTGCCGGTGAAAAAGGCTGCAACTTCTGAGACCACTGCGACACAGCTTGATTGCCACCATGGCAAGGATAGGTGCTCTGCAGCACGCGCAAAGATGGAGATGGACACGAATCGCACAGGTGTTGCAACACGAACACAAAAACCCAAGCTTTAGAGGTAAGTCTCCTCCAAAGTCTAGGAACCAAATGAATCGTTCGCTGGCTCATCTGGCCTCCCGGCTACTATTAGCTTCCTAGGTCTACTAGAGGTCTACTGGCTTACTCCCCTTCCGACCTACCCACCCCCTACTTAAAAGGTCGACACGCCTCTATGATGGGGACGAATCCGTGAGTCAACAGCAAAGACCTGTCGATGTAGTTCTGCACGTCCTCCACACTCGAAATCGAAGAAGAAAACGAACTCTGTTCGCTTCGTCCAAAAAGGAAAGGAAGAACGGAAGAAAGAAAACTGAAAGAAAACTGAAAGATCGCCAAACAATTCCTAAAATCACGTCCTTGGCTGCGATCCTTAAGCGATCCACAACCTCTCACACCAAAAACCCATCTCAACAAGCCCTTGGCAAATCAAATTGGCTCAAATAGAACTCTTGCTCCAAGTGAGTTTGGAAGCTTTCAAGTTTTTGCTCACTGTTCGAAAAGGTTGTAATTAAGCTTGGTCCATTGTTATCCACATGTCTCCAAATGTCCACTGTTTTTGGTTTGGGCACGTTCCTTCTTATGCATTTCTTACAAATTGATGCCTCGTACCTCAAGTGTGATTTGTCTGTCCTGATTGCAGTAAATGCTTTTCCATCCTCTCTGACTGATGACTTGCATATTAATATGTGCAAATCTACTTTATATACAAGAAAGCCAACATTCTACTTGTAAACATAATCATAGCCTACTTCTTACTTCCCATAGCTTCTCCCGCCAAAGCTTCGCTCCCTCGCCTCCAAAAAAAGCATTGTAACGCAATATGCATATATACTCCATACATGTCACACATCATAGGCAGAATAGAATGGCAGTATCGCCAGACGTCTGCTTGCTTTGCGTGCAAAGTCCAATAAAGCCTTTTTGGATACACTTTCTTTTAAGGTGGTCATTTCTTCGACGGGAGACGGCCCAAACTCCGCTTGCTTCGTCACACAATATCAAATCAATCTTTGTTGATTTTCTTTAAAAAAGAAATGTGGTTCTAATTCTGCTTAAAATACATGTGGGTGCGCGTGGCCCGTCAGTGAAGGGCTGTGGAAGAATTTAGCCATCGATAAGCCTTTTGACAATCTGTCACTTCTCCATGTCAGTCTCGATCCCCAACCCCAACCCCCGTTTGGAAGTCCACTAGTCCGCAGCATCTGACATTAAACATCGAACAAAGAAACGCTAGTAACGTACATGATAATTAAGCAACATACACACTTTTAGACATATGCATGCATGGATGCATGGATGAATGATGGATGTATGTATGTATGCATGTATATCGTATATCCATTTTTGATCTTTGACCTTTTTTGTCTTTCTTGCCTCGTAAAGCTGCGTCAATGCAGCTTCATCTTTGAAATGCTCCCGTGAGAAGTCCTGGCGGAACGGCGCGAGCAAAACCGCTGCGAAAGCGTTATATGATATATGTAATCAAGAGTACTCTTAACTCTTCCTACTAGCATGGCCTCCAACCTACTAGTGATGGCCTCCTCTGCACGGCAAATTTCAGGTCCTGTGTAATGTGCAAAGCACGCTTTGCCCGAGACAATGCTTCTGCGGCCCTCAAGCCCCGAAAAGGATAATTCCAATCAGAGTTTTTGTGCTTTCGATCTTTATACGAAGCAAATTCTTCTGAAGCTTCAAGTCGTCTAAGTGCCATACACTGCTTGGATTTGTGCTGTATCCCTGCCATCAGAAAGACAGGTGCTGTTGCAATGTCTTGCACATCAACAAGCTGCTGACACAGCAAGTTTTGGAGTAGCAGTAGCGGGGAATTAAGAGTGACTTAAAGAGTGCGCATGCAATTCAACCCACACTGGCTTCGCTTTCTTTTTGGACTCATGCCCCAAACAATGGTATTGAATGGTATTGAACATAACATCCTCCGATGGCCTCCAACCTACTAGCGATGGCCTCCACCCTAGTAGCGATGGCCTCCAACCTAGAAGCAAATGCACAAGGTCACCGTCATCGTGCCTGGGTAGAAACTCGTCGCTGAGCTGCCGGAGCCTCCACACTAGGATTTCACAATCTTTCTCCAATTCATCATTCTTAGAGACACTTTCTTTTTGTTCGGCAAGTTTGTCACAAAAATGCACAGAGGAAGTAGAAGCCCAAGACACACATCAAAGTCTTCTGGAAAGTAATCTGTTTTTTTTTGCTTCGCTTTTCTTGATCTGCCTGTATGTTCTTTTGTTCTTGCCCTTCCTAAACCAGACCTTTACTAATATACTTTCTTTAGTTTGGTGCGAATTTTGTCATGCTTTCGAAGTTGTGCGACTGGTCTCTGAGCAGTCTGCGAAAGGCTCTCCACATCTACAACTTTTCGCGGCATGGCAGTGGAGCACAAATCAAGCCAAAGAAAGTTCAGTGAACTGCCACTCTAATGATGTTAACGTGAAACTTGATAATGTCTAATGCATTGATGTTGCATTCATTTTGGTTCAGAATATTTTTTTCACCAAAACAAACAACACGTTCCGAATCAATATGGACAAGAAATGCTAAAGTTGTCATGTCCCAACAGCGACTAATTTACCTCCAAAACGGACAAGCTGAAACTTATTGCATCTGCACTTAAACTTTGAATGGGGATCCTAGAGTGCCGGGATGAAAAGGAATCCCTGGGGCAAAGACTCAACGTTCCTGCGGTTCCTTCATCAAGCAAAGCATTCGTGCCATGAGCAGCTTTGTCTCATGGCAACACTGAATCGGCCTCAAGTGCATCAAGAGAATTTTGTTCGAACAAAGGGATTTTTTAACTTGCAAGTTAATGAAGTGATGCTTCAAGCGACTTGCGGTGCCAACATATCACTCTACCAGACTACGCGCTGTATGTGGAGTTTGCTCGTGGGACCTTTTTGGATCGGTGAGACCATCAGTCCACACGGTGGTGTCGTCTCACGTGTTGCGCTCTCCGCGAATTTGACCTCGCAAGGTCGTCGGACGTTCGAATCGAGAAAGCCAAGGGCGCAGCTGCAAAGAGTCCCTAATAGCTTCTTGTTCCTAGTAGTAAGGCCAGGAGCCCCTAGTAGCGTCCTTG